ATGCCATGGCACTCTAGCCCGTGCAATACAGTGAGACTCTGTCTCAAAAAAAAAAAAAAAATTCATTGACTAGATGAATAGATATATTTTATTCCCTTAAGGTCCCACATATTATATTGTCTCATGGAAATATAAACTGTTATTTAGTCATTGTTGTTTTGATGGATATTTAAGAGAGTTCCAAGATTTGTAAGTAAAGCAAAGTTACAATTGGCCACTCCCCTTGGGCATATGTGAGGGTGTTTCTGCTGTAATGATGCTTCTGTGTGGAGTTGCTCAGTTCTAGGCTACATGTGTTTTTTAAAAAGTATTTACGCTCATTGTGGTTTTTTAAATTAAACTTTTTATTCTGAGATAATTGCAGATTTCCATGCAAATGTGAGAACTCCTGCAGAAATCCTGTGTATCTTGCCCATCTGCTCCAATGATATCTTCCAACACGCAGGACAACATCACAGCCTGAAAATTGACATTGATACAGTCAAGACCAAACATTCCTTCATCAGAAGGAGGCCTCGGGTGCCCTGTATGGCCTCACCTGCTTCCCCCACCCCACTCCGTAACCCCGGACCTGTCTGCTCTCCAGCACTGTAATGTGGTCATTTCAGGAATGTTATGTAAATAGAATCACGTAGTACATAAAATATGGGGTTGGCTTCTTTTCCCACTCAGGATAATTCTCTGGAGATTCATCCAGGTTGTCACATTTATTAATAGCCTATTCTCTTTTATTTCTGAGTAATATTCTGTGATATGGATGTACCACAGTTTGTTTAACCATTCACCTGTTGAAAGACATCTGTGTTCCTATTAATAGTTTGGGGCTATTACACATAAAGCTGCTGTAAACATTCATGTATAGGTTTTTGCATGAAAATAAGTTTTCATCTATCTGGGACAAATGCCTTGGAGTGAAATTGCTGGATTGTATGCTTGTTATATGTTTAGCTTTTTTAAACTAAACCATTTTCCAGAAGCCGTCCAGTTTCATGACTCCTCACCAGACTTTAGTGTTATCACTATGATTTTATCTCAGCCATTTGGACGGGTCGGTCGTGCTGTATCACTGCGGTTTTTATTTGTATTTCACTAATACTAACGAGGTTGTACATCTTTCCTTGTGTTCATTTGCCAGCTGCGTATCCTCTTTCTTATGACTGTTAAAAATCTCAGTGTGTCTGTGTCCCACAAGTTTTGATATATGGTATTTTCATTTTCATTTAGTTCAGTGTATTTTTCATTTACCTCAAGACTTCCTCTGTGACCTGTGGATTGTTTAAAAGTGTGTTGTTTAGTTTCCAAGCATCTGAAGAAATATTTCCCATTATCTTTCTGGTATCCATTCCTAGTTTGATTTCACGTGGCCAGAGAACACACTATATTATTCAAAGTTTTAAAAATTTGTTGAGGTTTATTTTATGATCCAGGATATGGTCTATCTTGATATGTATTCTGTGGATACTTGAAAAGAATGTGTGTAGTGCTGTTGTTGGGTGGAGTGTTCTACAAATGTCAATTAGATTAGGTTGGTTGATGATGTGGCTGAGTTATTCAATGTCCCTGCTAGTTTTCCCTCTAGTTGTTCTGCTAATTATTGAGGGGTGTGGAAGTCTCCAACTATAATTGTGGCTTTGCCTTTCTCCCTTCAGTTCTATCTATTTAGCTTCACTTACTGTGCAGCTCTATTGTTTTAGTGCATACACATTTAGGATCACTATGTCTTCTTTGTGGAATGGCCAATTTATTATTATATAATTTCTCTTTATGTATATTAGTTTTTCTTTATTCTGGAGTCTATTTTATCTGTTATTAAAATAATATTTCTGCTTTCCTTTAATGAATGTTTATATCTTTTTTCATGCTTTTACTTTGAACCTGCCTCTATTGTCACATTTGAAGTGAGTTTCTTTTTTTTTTTTTTTTTTTTGAGACAGAGTCTCACTGTGTTGCCCAGGCTAGAGTGCCGTGGCATCATCCTCACTCACAGCAACCTCAAACTCCTGGGCTCAAGCGATCCTCCTGCCTCAGCCTCCCGAGTAGCTGGGACTACAGGCATGCACCACCATGCCCGGCTAATTTTTTCTATATATTTTTAGTTGTCCAGATCATTTCTTTCTATTTTTAGTAGAGACGGGGTCTGGGTCTCGTTCTTGCTCAGGCTGGTTTCGAACTCCTGAGCTCAAACAATCCACCCACCTCGGCCTCCCAGAGAGCTAGGATTACAAACGTGAGCCACCGCGCCCGGCCTGAAGTAAGTTTCTTGTAGACAGCATATAGTTGTATCATGGCTTTAATTAACTCTGCCAATCACTGTCTTCTAATTGTAATATTTAGACCATTCACATTTAATATAATTATTAATATGCTAGGGCTTGTTTTATTTTGCTAGAGTTGCTGTGACAAAATACCATGAACTGAGTGACTTAGAACAGAATTTTATCCTCTCTAAGTTCTGGAGGCCAGAACTCTGAGATCAAGTAAGATTTGGAAAGTAGAACAACCAATAAGAGATATGTTAATGAGAAGGTTACCATTGCAGGCAACTGGGACTCAGTCCTCCCGAGGACTCTCTGAGAAATAGGGTGGAACCATATCAGATTGTCCCACTGAGAAGGAAGAGCCCAGGCCATTTATCCCATCAGCTACTATCCCTATTGACTGGATATGTTAATTCACCTGCACATCTGGGTTTCAATGGCATGTGTCAGAAGAAACACAGAAGAAAGAGTGCACCCATTTATGGCGGGATGCTGTGAATATGTCAGTGTGCCAGGAATTGTCTACAGCTGCAGGTGGGCTGAGAGGGCTGGTTATTAACACCTTCAACCATAGTCCACCCCTTGCACTGCACTGACCCTCTTATGCTGCAATCAGGTCCATTCTGTAACCAAGGTTTCAGGGGCTGGCCATAGTCTCCAAAACAATTAAAATAGATGGTTAGTGGCACGAGCTACAGTCCCCACTGTCCGGTTGGTCTTGCAGCCTTAACCGACATTTATCTTAAGCTCCTCCCCTACCCTTTCTAGATGTACCTCCATCCCAGCCAGCATATTTCTGGTCCGGGTGTTTGTTTGATGATGTCATCAAAATTCTTATACTCAAATGTTGAGTAAAGCCCAGACACCGTCCACCTCAGTGAGGCACCTAGGAATTAGCAGTCCTGAAAAGCTATGACCACCCTGATATTCAAAGACAAGGGTAGTGAGGAATGTCACCAGAAGTGCTGGAACTATGGAACAGGGGCAGCTAGAACTGTGGAGTAGGGGCAGCTCAACAGAGCTACCATAAGAAGGAACACACCCATCCAGAGAAATTCCCCAGGCCGCAGAGCAGTGGGGCAGGATATCTCTCCTCTTTTGCCCTATCTTCTCCCATGGGGTTGACACTGACCTCCTGCCCAACTCCCTGCCTGCCATGGGTTGGCCCCAACCTCCAGTCCTGCTATCTCCTGATGGTGTCTACTACGAGTTGAACCCGACTAGTATCTAAAAAGAACATAGCTGGAGAACTCCTAGAACTCAGCCCAGGACACAGGGTGAGATGGGTGGCACCTGGAAAGCACCAGTCACACTGAGCACAGGACTCATGGGGGGCACCCCTGTCCTCTCCATCATCGGCACATGTTGTTCCACCATCTCTTTCAAAGATTTTGTTAAAAGTGTCCATGTCATAAGGCACTTAGATCAATGATTCACACATAACAAGAGAAATACAAGGTGCCTGGAGTACAGTCAACAAGAACAGGGAATAGGAAAATCTTCCTGTTGATACAGAGATGCCAGCCTGTCCTCTAATCTCAGATTCTGAATGAGTTTGGGCTCTGCCCTTTCCTGTCCCCTGAGAAGGGCGGGCTTTCTGCTGGGCAGCACCTTCCCTCTGGGGCCAAATACGGGCATGCCAGCACCTTCAGTATAGCTCCCAGGAGTTATTAGAGAGGGTGTATCAGTATGACTTGGCAAGTACTGGGGGGGGGGTCCAATCTTGGGCCAGAGAGGCACAAAGATGCCATTGTGTGGCCCCAGCACCTGCCTTCAGAGCCTGGGTCAGCTGTGGGTCTCCGGGTAGATGACGCAGGCCTGGAAACTACAGGGTCAGGGACAGAGAGGCAATTCTTGTTCAAGAAAGCCAGGGATGAGGCCAGCAAAGCCAGGCGCCCTGGCCAGCTCAGCCAGAAACTCTGAACACAGGCTGGCAGGTGACCCCTGGTGCCTACTGGGCCCATTCATCCAAAGGGATGAGGTGCGAGGCCTGTCTAAAGGGGAAGATTGGGCGATGAATACACACAGGGAACATGAACAGGACAATCCAGGAAGTAGCAAGTGCTCTAAGGAACACAGCCAGCCTGGAGTACGGAATGGACCAGGTAGGGGAGGTGATGTTGTCCCCAGTGTGGCCTGAGGAGGAGATATTTAAACTGACCCCAGCCACAAAAAAGTGCCCTCCCCGACCCCAGGAGGCTCTTGGGTGGCGCATCCCAGGCAAGGGAAGAGCAGTGCAGGGGGTGCCCCAGGGCAAGTGAGAGCTGGGGCTCTGCCAAAGCTCAGCCCTTTCTCATCAGCAGGTGGTGGGATGGCCAGTCCCCCAGAGAACTCGCCAGGACCCCAGCCATGGCACCAGGAGGGTGCAGGTGGGGGAGGGAGCATCACAAAGCTGTGGCCTTCGCTCTGTGGCTTTGTGCAGACCTGCACCCCTACCCTGCCCCTGCTCTGGCAAGTCCCCTGCAGCTGGTCTGTGAGCGAGCACTTTGGGTGGTACAAACACGGGACGCCATCACGTGTCTTTTCTTCTCTGGGTGGCATTTACTTGCCATTCATCAGATCCTAACAATGGCAACACTGCACCTTCCCGGATGCAGGGCTGGCCAAGGGGGAGGGGTGGGGTCTGTGCCAAGTGCTCACAAGCCACCGGCCAGGGGCTATAAAGGGCACTGCGAGGGGAGCCAGCACAGCCACCCAGACGCCCAGGTGACCTGCGGAGGCCGTGAGCACAGAGCCCTGGAGATGAAGGCCCTGCTCCTAATGGCCGTACTCGGCCTGGTCGCTGCCCTGTCCTTGGCCCAGGAGGAGCAGGACGTGAGCTGGGCTGGGCCCATGGGCGGGTGAAGGAGCAAGGCCGTGCCTGCTGGCCGGGGCAGCAGCCAGGGGCCCTGTTTTAGGAGGTGTCCTTCAGGGCCGGGTTCTGACCCTGCCCTCTCGGCCTGGAGTGGTCAGAGAACGGGGTCCTGTTGCTCTGCTGGCAGACAGCAGAGGGGCAGGGGACAGGCTCAGCTCGGGGTCCTGCTGCTGACACCCAGAGCCCGAAGGCCTTGCAGGGCGGGCCCTCTGCAGGGAGGCTCAGCGGGTGCCGGGGCCTGGTTCGTGGAGGGCAGACACCCTCTGCCTCCGCTGGGGCCAGGAGCCCTGAGTGCTGGGCTAGCTTTAACCAAGCTCAGGGGTGGATGTGCGGGAACCAGCCTGCTCTGGGGGCTGCTGCTTGGGTGCAGGGGTGGCGGAGGTGTGGGGGAGAACCCGGGCGGCCCTCAGTGTGGCCTGAGGAGGAGATATTTAACCTGACCTTGAGCCACGGCTGCGGCCGGCCCCAGTTTTCAGGGACCTGGTATGTGAAGGCCATGGTGACAGGCAAGGACGTGCCAGAGGAGAAGAGGCCCAGGAAGGTGTCCCCCGTGATAGTGACAACCCTGGAAGGTGGGGACATGGAAGTCACGATCACCTTCATGTGAGTGTTGCCCACCTCAGCCCCCCTCCGGGCCACTTTCTCGCCCCCTCCCATCCCTGCGACATTGCGGTGTTGGTGAAACATCATCCCCCTGACTTGGAGGGGAGACAGCCCGAATAGCCTAAAGCTCGCCAGGGTTGGTAGTGGAATTTTGGGGGTTGCCTGGTCAGGGCGATGCACCAGGTGAGCAGAGGGCGGCTCGGGTGTGTCCTGGGAGCAGCTGCCCGAGCGCCTCCTGTTTTCCAGGAAGCAGGATCAGTGCCACCAGAGGAAAATGCTGATGCAGAAAACCGATGAGCCCGGCAAGTTCCACGCCCGTGAGTCCCGGCCTGGCTGCGCCAGCCCCACTGCCCGGGGGAGAGCTCCCGGCGGCCTTTCTGGTCCCAGCTCTGTCTGCTTCCCAGGAGGGGCCAACCTCTTCTTTCCCAGGGGTCTTGAGGCCCAAGTGTGAAGGGCTTGTCCACTGCAGGGACACTGGATCACGTCTTCCCTCTGGGTGGTCCCGGCTGTCAACTCATCAGGGAGACTGAGGGTTAGAGGTCAGGGAGCAGGGCAGAGGCAGCTGCGCAGAGCTGGGACAGACACACTGTACCTTCCGACATCCCTGGCCTCTTGTGGTCCCACAGCTTGGGTTGGGACCGTCCCAGGAGGGGGCTCCTCCCCCAGCGTCGGAGTTGGGGCTGCGGGGAGCAGGAGGGCCCTGGCTGTGCTCTACAATGCTGTCCGCAGCGTCTCCTCTGGGAGAGAAGATGCCCAAGACCCGCCGTCTCTGTCGTCTACAGATGAGGGCCAGAAGACGGTCTATGTGCAGGAGCTGCCGGGGACGGACCACTACGTGTTCTACTGTGAAGCCCAGCGCCATGGGAAGCTGTTCCACATGGCAAAGCTCATGGGTGAGGGGCCCTCGGAGACCCGCGTCCTCTTGCTGGCTTCAAGTGCTGGGCACAGTGTGGAACGGGCTGGGCTGGGCCGGGCAGGGCAGTGCGGTGCCACTCACAGGGGGGCTCTGGACACCACAGCTGCTAAGTGCCACTTCCTGGGGTCTCAGGCATTGGTGGTGGTGTCACCTCATGAAGGGATTAGTGTCCTGACAGAGGCCCTCATAGGGCAGGGACCCTCCAGGGTGAGGTGGGGGGGCAGCCCAGTGCCTCCAGGACACAAGGTCCTTCCAGATCGGGGTGTGACCCTGCAGGGTGGCTTCTGGAGCTGCTCAGGTCCCCCAGGGTTGCTCGGTGGCTCAAGGAGTCACCACCACTTCCCCCTTCCCAGGGACCTGTCAGCTGGGCAGTGGCCATCACATCCTTCCCCCGTCCCCAACCCAGACCTCCATGTCCCCCCTTGGGTCCAGCCTCCTCTCCTACCCTCAGCCACTCAGGGACAAGTCCCCGGCCCGACAGTGGCTGTATCCTCACGGTATCTGCTTCCTGCTCACCTGGCTACCCGCCTCCCCCAGGTAAGGATCCTGCTACAAACCCAGAGGCCCTGGAAGAATTCAAGAAATTCGTGCAGCGCAAGGGGTTCCTGGAGGAGGACATCTTCATGCCCACACAGACGGGTGAGAGAATGCTCTGCCGGAGTCCCCCACGTACCCCAAGTCTCTCTGTGACGTCCAGGCTACCCTGTGGCCCCCGTGACCCCCCAAGTCCCCTCACAGGGATGCCGAGGCCCTGCTTAGGGCCTTGGTCACAGGCAGGTCTGAGCTGGGGCTGAGGTGGGGTCTGGGCCCCTGTCCAGGGCGTCTCCTCACCTTGGGTCTGTCTTGGTCTCTACAGAAAGCTGCGTTCCTGAACAAGACTAGGGTAAGTGACACTGTGGAAGATGTTGGAAAAGCCCGGAGCGCTGGGTTCCCAGATCAGGGGTCCATCTGCTCTGGCCCCGTCCTGTGCCACACAGGCAGGACAGACCCCTGCCCCTGGGCCAGGCAGGAGGTCAGCACCTCAGAGTCTGCCCCAGCTAATTCCTGGGACATCTGGGAAGGCCTCTTTCCCCTAAGCCCTGCCCCCAGCCCAGTGAGGTCTTCCTGGGCTCTTCCAGGGCCCAGGCCTGCAGGGACTCCCACGTGTCAGCTCAGCACCGTTGTCCTCTGCACTGGTCCCACCTGGTCCTATCCCCTCACACACACCTGCCAAGGATCCCCAGAGCCCTGCCGGGTCCTAGGAGGGCCAGATCGCTCTCAAGGCCCACGGCTGCCCAGCAGTGACCATCTGCACCCCCTGACCTCTGCTCCTCTTCCCAGCACAGCAGCTCCTGAGTCTGCACCTCTGGAGTCCACCCTGCTGCCTGACAGAGCCTCCGGTCTGCCTAGACCTGTCTCCCACCACTGCCCTCCCTTCCCCCACCTGACTCCAAATAAAGAGCTTCCGCAGCTGCTCTGGGCTCGCCTGTCTGTGAGGGGATCTTGTGTTGGCTCCCTTGGGGGACTGCCGGGAGGGGGTGGCACCAGAGAAGCTGGGAGATGCTAGACCCAGCAGGGGCTGGACCCCAAGAGGCTCAGCGTCTGACAGGCCCAAGGTCATGTGATATCCTAGAGGGTCCCCTGCAGAGCTGCCACCTCGAGGTTCAGGCTCAGCTTGGGAGGGCCTCAGCCTCCCAGCCTGGCAGGGGAGCGCTTGGGAAGACAGCAGGCAGGGGGGCAGGGAGACCAGGTCAGGGCTGCAGACGGTGCTGGTCCTGGCAGGGATCCCACCCCAGCGGGGACTCAGTGGGACCCTCCAGGGCCCCACTTTAGCAGGCTGGCTGGTGGCAGGGCTGGAGGGGGCGGCCATGGGCGCCTCCCTTATCACCTCCCCCCCAAGCAGAGCTAGCCCTGGCCTCTGTAGATCCTCATCCCCACCCTGGCCTTCCCGTGGATTTTCTGGGGGCCAGGGTCTGTGCTGACACTGGGGCCAAGGTGGGAGAGGAGAGGCCACCATCCCACAGGTGATAAACACCCAGAAACCGCAAATCCAAACAGGGTGGGCTTTCCAGGAGACAAGCCTGCCAGGCACCTGTCTCTCCCCGAGGGGCCACTGGTCCTTCAGACAAGGGACCAGCTGTGTGACTCCACCTGACCTTTCACCCTCTCCTTGCCCCTCCCCCTGGACCTGACTCTTGGCAGGGCCGCAGGTGATACTGGGTGGAGCCAGCAGAGCCAGGCCTTGGTATCGGGCAGGGCAGACCCCGTCCCACAGACGGGCAGGTGGCATTTCCCTCCCTCCACGCCCCCACACAAATTCCAGGAGAGTTAAGGACTTCCATGTAAAAATAAAAGAAATAGGTAAAAATATTCAACTGATCGCAGGGTGGAAAAGGATGTTTGTAGCGTCTGAGCAATGGGGGTGAAATCCCAGTTGAAACGACAGAGACACGCTATTGCACAGAAACCGCGAGATCCGCGCGGAGATGATGACGGTGGGCGCTGAAGGCGCGTGAGAAGCTGGGAGATCTGCTCCTGCCCCTCGAGGAGGGCCTGCCTCGGCGTCTGCGGGGTCCACCATCCCTGCCCGTCCATTCGTCCAGCCATCCCGCTGGGCCAGTCTGTCCAGGGCCCGCCCCCTCGCGGTGGTGGGCTGAGGCCAGAAGCCCGGCCAGGCACTTTCTGGGCTTGGAATGCGACCCTCGGGCTGGAGACACGAGGCTCTGCCCTGGCGGACGTGGCCCCAACCAGTGTCTGTTTCTGCCCCCAATTCCCCTCCCCGTGCTCAGGACCCCCGATCCCACCCCTGAGCCCTCCACTCACCTAGTAGACAGAGCCGTGTCCACGGCTTTTAACCGCAGTCCCTCATGGACACCCAATATCCTAAGTGTCGGAGGAGAGCTGTCAAGAGTAAATCAGGAGGACTCTCTGTCCCCACCCAAACGCCACGGAAGGGCCGAGCAGAGACCCGGAAGCAGAACGCCTCGTCCAACTCCTGAACACCAAGAAGTCACAGAAGTGTGAATGAGAGCCAAGTACCTTTCTTGTTTCTTTAAAAATGGATTTTTTATCTATGTACAAAGGAATACACGAGTCCCGGAGAGGGTGTGCCAAGAGGGGTCCTCACTGACATCATTTGTGCACAAGGGCCGGCAGCGAGGTCACCCCGAGAACCACTGGGGCTCAGTCCCGGTGCTGCCGTATTGAGACCAGCGGGCCTGGGCGGGGGTGCTCCAGCGGCACCAGTTCCAGAGCATTCCGGCTGCTGCGGGGAGGGCAAGGGGCACCTCCCTGGAAAGATGAGCCCCGAGAGAGGGGTTGGGGACGCTGCAGGTGGAAGCGCGGCCACTGTGGCCACCACATTGAGACCCGAGGGGACACGGCAGCCTAACAGCACCTGCTGCGCCGCCCCCCCCCCGCCCCCAGCCTCAGGAATGCTCGCGTCCCGCACACTCTGCTGTCACTGAGTCTTCGGGGTGACACTTGCCTGTGACAATTAAACGACAGAAAGAAAAGACTCAGAACAGAGCACTGTTTGGCTGGGTGAGGCTCCAGCTGCCACCGTCGGTACCGAGGCACGAATGACGTTCGTGTTCCTCTGCTCGCCCAGCCGGCGTCCCTGCCGGGCCAGGTCGCCTGTCCGGTGGGATCACACGGGCCCCCCTGAGGGCTGAGCCCCAGGTGTGTGCCTTGGAGGCCTGTGCACACAGGTGCTGATTGTCAGGCCTGGAGGCGCCAGGGCTGCCCAGAGAACCCCCGAGCTCTGGACACCAACCCCTGCGCCTTCGTGGGACAGTGTGCCTGTCACTTCATGACCATCAGACCCCCTCATCCGCCAGCAGACTGAGAAAGACTATAGTGCTGTGTGTAAGACGGAGATGGGGCGGAAGTTTACAAGTTCTAATTTACCTACCAAAAATAAAGGCCGCCTCTGGCTTGCTCCTGGGCCCTGGTAAATGCTGAGCTCCTGGCCAGAGGACACCAGTGACCATGGGACCGGAGCGTCCCATCGTAGCTGGGTATTGCCAAAGGGTCAGGTGGACCCAGAAACCCTCCGTTGTCCGATGAAAACGGTACACTCCGGATCAGGCCCAAGCAGGAACGTGCCCCCGAGGCCCCAGCTTTGAACTGGGGCGGTGACGGGGTCCAGGCCACCTGGTGGATAACTTTGTGCGGGCAGGTCTGGGAACCTGTCTCTTGTTCTCGATGTTTGTCTCTTACACGTTTGTGCGGGAACTTGGCACCTTGACAAGCTCAATTTACCCACTGCAGCCATTGACCCTGGAACTGTCCCCAGCCAGTGTCCCCAGCCAGCTCCTTCCTCCCTTCCTACCTCACCTTCCTCCTCTCTCTAGCTCCTCTCGAGGTCTGTGTTTCTTCGCCAGCCTGAGCCGACCTGGATGCTTTTGCATGTCATTGGCTTCAAACTGGAGGCGTGGCGAGCGGCCCGCAGGGCTGCTTCTCCTGCATGTGCAGCACACCCCGGGCTTCACCTCCGGAGCCCTGCGCAGCCGCCACGCGCCGGCGCCCCGTCGAGCCAGAGCGGCGTGGGCTATGCCCGTGCACTCGCCTCCTAACTCGGTACCACTTCAAAAGCCACAATGAGTGTCCGAGTTGTCGCCAAACTTCCGCAGTTCCCCACACGGCCCAGTTATCAACACGAGACCCGCGTGCACTTGGACGTCTCACGGTTGGCATCTTGCTCCTGTGTGTCCTCAC